AAAAACATGCGTTTCCTCTGCGCCAAACTGTACAACTGCTCAATCAGAGTAATGTGTATAGGAAAGATAAAAAAACTGGATATTCTTTACACATTGCTTATGGTAATAGTTTTCAATTTGTTATAATTACAAAAAAAAACATTACTTCTGATATTTTGTTATTTTATTCTAACCCAATTAATATTCCAGAGCTGTTTTCTCGCGTTCACTTTTCTAAAGTTGTATCAAAACAGGTTTTTGAAACAGTATATTCTCGCGATGAACTCATGACGTCACATCAAAATTCCTCAAACCGTTTCGAAATAAAATCCAATCCACGTTTTAAAACCATTTTCTTGAGCCGAGAAGCTATGACGTCATGTGACATTGTTTTAAACCAGTTTTAAAACATTTGACACATGAGAAAACACCTTAAGTCTTTACACAATCCTTCACAATCCTTACACAATCACTCACAATAATGACATAATCAGTCACAATCACTCTAAATCATGACAGAATCAGTCACAATCGCTCACAATCAGTCACAATCCTTATACAATCATTCACAATCGTACACAATGATTGATTGATTGATTGATACACAATCGCTCACAATCTTAGCAAATTTCCTTAAAGATTGTGGAATTTGGCAGTCGGTGTACACATTTTGGGTCAGCTATTCACCCCTCGGCTAAAACCATTCCCAACTGAAAAAGGACAAACTGGATTCAGGAGTGTTGAATGTGGTCATTTGTCGAGTCATTTGTATCATATCCAGGGCCAAAACTAGCCCACTTCCTGGTTCCTGGAAAAAATAACTTTATGTTAGTAAAAATTTAAATGTTTTATGTTAGAAATTGCCTATTTATTCAGCTTCCAATATCCAACAAACTGAAAAAAATAAAATATCCAACGGTGTCCAGAGCATCCTACCCTAGATTATCCAACGGTGTTCAGGACATCCTACCATTGAATATCCAAAGGTGCTCAGAGCATCCTACCCCGGAGAACATGAAATCCTCATAAACATATCATTTTCTGAAAAGCATGGAAATTAAAACAACACCAAAAAGGATTTTTTTTAAAAATTTATCCAATGTTCTGGAAAGGCCTCTGGAGGGGCTCTATGTCTAGGAATGATGAAGTTGTCTTCATCTGAAACACACAAAACACAAAATTTATTTAGCTGTCAATATTCTGGAAACAACTTATGTCCAAGAAGCTGCATTGTTCATGTTGATATTGTCTTCATCTGGAACACACAAATCAAAATTATCCAAGCGAGCATTCAGCTGTTCTGTGTCCCTTTGGGTTTGATCCAATATTGAATTGAAATTACCTTATACCGACACCCAACAGCCATCCATAATTTGATAATTTCTAGCCAGTAGCAGTTTTGCCGGCTGCTACACATACCGTCAAGTATATTAGTGCAACAAATGAGATCCAGGACAAATATGGCATTAGGCTCCCCGCACCGCAGCTGGTACCGAAAAGAAACGCTCAAACCACCAATGTTGTTGAATATTGGTGAAATGCAACTTCAGTTTTTTTGTTTGAGTGAATGAAAAGTTTACAACCAAATATTCAATAGACAATAATTATTATATGTATGTGGGAAATGTACTAACTTGTGTTTTTGCATTTAGGACTCACACACCTCAATTCAGATTTTCACCAGAAATAATTAAGAGCCTATTTTACTTGATTACCGATGGTGAATTTAAATTCCCTGTTTTTAGTTACTTACAGGGTCAAATTAGTATTAATTTTTTTAAAAAAGGTTTAGCTTTGTTCCAACAACGCAGAAAACCGTACAATGTACCGTCAAGATTCTGCGCAAAATCAAAAAATTCGTATACAGAGTGGCTCCGAAACCTTTTTTGGGACGGTTTTTCGAACAGACCTTATTGATTATAACTTTCAATGTTTGTCTATTCCAGGCTCTAAAATAATTCTGAGGTTTTAAAATTGTTCAAAATGTTGTTGGAAAATGTTCCAAATGGCTTATTGAAGTTCTAAATTGTTCTTATAGATTTTTAATTATTTTGGAGCCATATTGAAGCTAAGTTGGTTCAAAATAATTCTAAAATTGAATCCTAATTGTTCTAAAATAAATCTGAAATGTTTTAATTGTTTTTCGATTATTTTCGAGCAAATTAATAATAACTATATATCATTGGAAAGAGCAGTCAATTTTTCATAAGCCCGTGCAAAATTGGTTGTTGTACCTTGTAGAGTTTCCAAGATATTAAGCTTCAATGTTGAAATTTAGTCCACATTTTGTCTAAAGCCTCAAATTTTATTTTCTCAAAAACCGTAAATGTTAGCGATTTCAACTAAACACCATCTTGAAGCCCTCGCCAAAAGCTACAATTTCTGGAATTGTTGTTCCAATACCTCTTTTGGTTTCTGACTCGGTTTCTGAGATATTTGAGATTGAAGATTTACAAATAAAAATTGTTTAAATCTATAGGTAAACACTTTCTGGTCTTTTGTGTGTGGTAAGTCGGGCCATGGTGGGTGAGTTGGACAATGACAGGTCCGCTCACTCTATGGATATAGCAAGTGCTTTTGCACAGTATTTTCAATCTGTTTTTGCTGGAGGCAATAACCAAATTTCCAATTGCCAAACCCAAGCTGACCACACAATTTCAATTTTTCCTGCATTGCGGATCATGACATTCTTGACAGTATCAAATCTTTGAAATCAAAAAGATCAATTGGCATACTATCCTATATTTACAAGGGATAGGTATGCACCCAATTCTTCTTATAGCCATTAAAATTCATATTTAATTTTAATTTAGCATTGAAACAGGGCTGCTTTCCTGATATTCTCAAAACGGCAGTTATTTCGCCTATTTTCAAGAATGGCAATAGGGATGATATAAGGAATTACCGGCCAATAAGCTTACTGAATAGTCTTAGTAGGATATTTGAAAAAAATTCTGTACAAGGACCTTTTGTGTCATATTTATAATAATACATCGCAACTTCAACACGGGTTCCTGGAGGACAGATCTACAGTTACCAACCTATGTTGTTTCTCAGAATGTGTGTCTGAAGCCATCACTAATAAGAAACAACTGACCGTGCAGAGGCATTTGACAAGATAGACTACAGCATATTGCTGAGCAAGTTGGCTAATTTTGGTGTCTCTTCTAAAGCCTGTAGCTTTTTATGGTCACAATGCCAACAGTCTGTCAATGTTGGACATGCTTTTTCTGGTAAATTTGTTCCTACGTCGGGAGTTTCCCAAGGAAGTAACTCGGGTCCCCTACTTTCTATAATATTTATAAATGATTTACCTGAATGCCTAATGTCATCCTATAGTTTGCTGTATGCTAATGATTTGAGGCTTTTTAAAACGGTTTCTTGCGCAAAGGATTATGCTGAGTTGCAGTTTGATTTAGAAGCGGCCATGAAATGGTTTAAAGATAACAGAATGCCAGTGAGTAGGGAAAAGTGCTCGGTAAGAAAAAATAACAAAATTCAAGAGCCTGGAATAAACAAAACATGCAATTGAGTAAATTATTAAAGGACTGCATTTTTTCAAAGAAAAATGATTCATTTTTGAACATTTCCTGCGCCCACACTAGTGTAATAATTTAACTGTCCACAGCTCAAGGTTAAGCAACACAAATTATTAACAACTTTTATACAATTTATTTAAAACGCGCAGAGTACATACATCGATCTAAAAAACCAACCCTCACTTAGGGGTGCATGTAGCCCTTAATAATCTCCCTATATGTAGGGAGGAATTTTATTGAAAACGTTTTTGATCTATTTTTGATTACAAAGTATCTAGTTCAGGCAAATGACTGTTCTAAAATAAAAATGTTTGTTTTCGCGCTCCACTTAATTCCAAATGAATTTTGACTTTCTTATACATCGGCTTCCTGTGTCATTTAACAACTAATTGTTGTTGGATTCAATTCACGTATTGATTTGGTTATTTATGAGAGAAGGTTTTTAGTGAATTAATATTCTGTTGGTGAATTATTCATTCCTATGAACTGGCTTAGTTTACTTACCTTAATAATTTGAATTGTTTCTTATCAAATCAAATAAATGTTTAATAGTTCATTGCAATTCAAGATGTGAATTATTGAATTTTTATATTTCAAACAATATAATGTCGTGTGGCCATTCACTTTAGTCCCGACTACTTTCCAGGTCAGTGATACTTTTGCATCCATATAGCGTAAAAGCTCTCGTACTCAATTTAAACATTTTTAAGCCAATTTAACCGAGTGTTTTTTAAATTTAACTACTTTTTAGCCGCTCTGTTTAACCGAATTTAAAAAACCCATTTGCTGTTTCTTTCATTTAAAACAACCTATTATAGATTTTATTAGTAGATAAATTAAATTTTTAATAATTCATAATTGAAGTTTCTACCTTATTAATTTAAACAATCTGATTAATTTGATACGTGATTAATTACTCTCAATCAGACAATAATAATATTTATACATTTGCTGACCTCCTCTGAAAGTTGTTGGCCTATTTTGGTACAAAATTAAATCCTGGCTGGACAATTATTGAAGCTTCAAGTATTTTTTCCAGACTCTCTCTAAAGGGTCGTTTTAGTCTGCGTCTGGAATTATTGGCAAATAGCCAAAAAAACGATGAGTAATCCAAAATATCCCCTTTCTAAGGGCTCCATCCAGACATAGCTAAATAATCTATATTTCACAAAGCAGATTATCTTTGGTTGTTGGCACAATAAAATTGTTTTGTAAAGAATGCAAAAAGCTAAATTATGCAATACTGATTCCTATCAAGATTATTGATTAATGACTGCAATTTTTCCTTGACGCAAATGAGTCCCACAGTTTTTTCTTTGTTTAGATAGGTATATTATTGTATTGTTTGTGGGCAAAACTGGGTTAAAAATATTAATTTGCATTTACTTAAATAATCAATATTATTAATTATATTTTGCATTAAAATATTTACTCATAATTAGATATTAAATTTTTAATAATAATAATTTTTTTTTCTTGCAGGAAGTCACACTAAGTACTTACTGACTGATGATAAGGAATTGTTCATTTTAGAATTGATATCTGTGCATTATTTTCAACTGGCGATTAATTAAGGTAAGATTTTAATTGCAATTATTGCAATTTGATAATTCCTGTGTATTTTAAATGTGCACACGCAACATGTACCATAAAGCTGGCCCTTTTTTATTTTTATTTTTATTTATTTATTTTATTGTTTAATACACCACAGGGCAAACTCCAAATGGTATTTCATGTATTACCTTCTTATATCTATGACAAACTTTTTCAAAAAATAAAATAAAACTGTGCAATACAATATGATCACAACAATTAATACAAGGCAATACAAATAAAAGTAAATAAACACAATACAATAGGTACATACATATGGCACCCTTTCCTTAATTACTTCCCTAACTTCCCCTTAAATCATATATCGGCGCTGCAGCTCATTTTCTCAGAGAGTCAAGATCCATACTGCTATATTTGAAGTTTCTGAAATGCCTGTGATCTATGGTCGTTAAAGGTTTGCTAATATATATTGGCTCTCTATCCCTTCTATATACCATGTAGTTTGGAGGTTTTAATTTTTCATTGGTGATTCCCTCGTTCAGTCATGTCTTTGTCAGCACAATAACATCATAATCACACTTTAGTACTTCCAGCTGGAATGGCACCGTTTTGGTTCTGAGTCCACGAACATTCTGACATGAAATTGAGATGTTTCTATTTTGTGAATTTGCCGTTTCAAGAATATTTATTTCAATGGTCAAAGCGTTTACATCTGATGTTGTGTTGCCTAAGGATGAGTGGGAAGGTGGTTGCCTGGGGGAAAATTTTGCATGTTGTTATATTCTTGGTTAACTACTTGATTACAGATACCCATTTCGATTTCGCTCATAAGCAGACATGAGGCTATCACTTTTTTGTATAAAATCATAGATAGAAAAGTTAAAATTTTCAGTGATTCTTATCCTAGTAGAGGACTATATTTCCGTGAAAATTTCATCTCATTTGGACTTGTAGTTTTTTTTAGTAAGATTTCCTGAACCTTCTCCATGGAAAATCCCCATTTTAATTTGGGCAGTTGGCAGGCCAATCTAGGAAGGACCTCGACGTTCTGCTTCTCAAAAACAATTCGTTACAGTGCAATGTCAAAAATAAATCCACTCTCTCTCTCTCTCTCTCGAGAAAAATCACTTGGAATCTGGCCAATGGGTCCATAATAGAAAAAGTCGGTCAAAGAATTTTCGGTTTTTTTTTTCCTACTTAAAACAAGCTTTCAAGGCTAAAATTAATTTTGCATCATCTATGAGAGATGCAATTTAATTTATTCACCATACAAAACAAAAAATCTCCTTTCACTATGTTGCTGATAAATAGTAAATACCCATAACAAAATAATAGTTTTTCTTTTACCCATATATAAATTTAATGTTTGCAATTTCTCATTAATTTGGACTTTCCACAATAAAATTGCACTTTTATAAGAGACGATAATATTATTTCAAGGTGCCAGACAATATGTAGCGATTTTACTTTGTATAAATATATTATTATGATGTAGGAACGGTTCTCCTCCATGGAATATTAATAACTCGGTAATTATTACTCGCGGCCAAAGACCACTTTCCTTATTTGGATCATCTACTTTGACGCACGCATGACTTTTCCTTATTTTGGCCACTGATTTGATCAAAACCTACTCAATTTTCAGTTAGATCATTGATCTTTTGTCCCAGAAATAATCCATAATTTCGACAATTTTTTTTGGGACCAGTCCAAACTCTAAAAATGTAATTTTGTTACAACATGCCTAATAGAAGTTTCCTGAATAATCGGCCAAATTTTACTCACATTTCAATACAATCGAGATTATAATTACCATAAATATGCACTAAAATACTAAAATCACAGGCACAATTGCTGGCCACTTGTGACTTTTGAAATTATAGTCCAAGGGATTGTGGCTTTCAAGATAAGATTTTCAATGTTTCAATTTATAGTTGCTGCTGGTCTATGGGAATATTTGCTACTTGTCAGATAAAGACTTGAGTAAATTTGCTTTACTTTTACGTGAAATCATGTGAAATTGGGATTTTTTTCATTGTTTGACTCGAGGCGGATCGAGAGGCGGATGTTTTGGGAGATTGTTTTTGTTTTTCAAATATTTGTCTAGGACTTGAAAAGACTTTTTTGAGTTTGGATTTTTGAGTCCCTTATTTTTGTAATTCATTTCTTTAAAAAAAAAAAAATACATAAATTCACTCGTAAATTCATGTTCTGCCAGCAGAACATTACTTAAAAATGTAAAAATCATAATGTATAGATATAATATATTTATTTTGACCAAAACTTGCATTTTTTTTTGGGAATTTGAACTTTGAGAATTTTTTTTAAAATGTTCCAGGCTTCAGAATGAATTCACATTTGCACCAATTATAATTTGAAGTTTCTTTTATAATTGAGCACAAAATGCTACTTAATATTTGCCTCAGATTTCGAGTTATAGAATTTAATGTTCTTCCTAAAGATATAATTTATTTTGATTTGCTCAAATTCCAATGAATATATGGGCAATTATTCCATATTGTCAGAATTTGAAAATTTTCTCTCGAAATAGCATACCTACTTAATAAAGCAAAATACATATTCAAATAGACCTCATTATAATGTACTTTATTATTAACTACATATATTCAAACTTGGACAATTTTAAGGAAATTACAAGGAATTACTTGGAAATTTTGAAGTATCAATGGCCATAAATCTGAACTAAATACTCGAATCCCTTATTCCAGCCGGACTCCAAACAAATTTGCACGTAACTATAACCAAGCCCACCTTTTCTGAGCAAAGCTTTTGCACTGTGACCATCCACAAACTGATTATAACAACGAATAGCTGAAATCCTTGCATATCCAATACCTGCCCCAGCTTGTGGATAATCAATTATAGATGTCCTGTATGTCCACCAATGACTTTCCTTGCGATACACCTAAAACAGCACATTGCAAATTTTGGATTTAAAAAAATGAGATTGTACCTGGCTAAAAAGCAATCTGTCGTACATCTGGATTTGTCCTAGGAACAAATGTCCTTCGTTTGTTCCATTGGAAGTTGTATTGTACAAAACAGCTCGGCTAAAATTAAATTTTGAACTGTTTGGGAATTGATTTATTGGCCTGTAGCTGCTAAAGTTGTATTTGTTTCCATAATTGTTGTTGCTGGAGTTAAATTTACCAGCCCAATTATTGTTGCTAAAGTTGAATTTTCCAGTCCGATTGTTGCTGGAATTGAATTTTCCAGCCCAATTGTTGCTGGAGTTGAATTTACCAGCCCAATTGTTGCTGGAATTGAATTTTCCAGCCCAATTGTTGTTACTGGAGTTGAATTTAGATGGCCAGCTAAAATATTAAGTTTTAAAAGGCATTTTTTAGGTCAATAAGAATCACTTACCCCAAATTGGTTTGGTTGGAATATGCTGGAAACTTTTGCTGCTGACCCACTACGAAAAGGGCCCCGAGCAAAAAGCTTGCCAGAAAAATCGTTTGTCGCATTTTCGTAAACTACTGTTTCTCCTTGGAGGATTGTTGAGGCATTTTATATTTTTCCTTGTGTAAATTTGTGACATATTTTTTTGTGCTTATAGGCTGGGAGATTGTTTGGGATTTGAGGAAAATTTATAGATTCCAATTGCCAGTCTATGAATTGTTTGCGAGATAAGCCATGAACAAATTTACTTTTCGAGTGACATGGGATCATGTGGAGGAAATTTCAAATTATAATAGCACGTAATTCCTAAAAATACCTCGAAACAAAACTTAGAGCGACATTGAATGCCAAATGTAATTTTTCTTTTTGATGGCAATCATGTTTCTAGAAGCATTTTATGTTCTATTTAAAGTCTAACTGTTGTATGCAACATCCTCTTTTAGCTTAAAAGCGCTTTTTAAAACTGGTTACTTTTAAAAATGTGTATTCTAAAACATACAAAAATTTTAAAGGTACCAGTTTCAAAAAGCGTTTTCAAGTTGAAAGAGGATGTTGCATACAGCTGTAAAAATCTTCCATTGTCCATAAAAATGTTCTAAAACTGCCTGATTTTCTTACTTAATTTAACAGCTGGTTCCAAACCTAAATAAACACATTTTTGAAATCTTCAAAACAGCTAAATTTTATGTTCTATTTTAGTGTTTGTTTGTTTTCATATCAAGTCAATAATAATAATATAGGAAATCATACATAATAAATAGCGTGATGAGTTCGTAAAGCTCCATCGAATATACATGTAACATAATTCAATTTCGATTATTATTAGCAAATATTTTAATAATTAAATAATGTAATAATGTATGCTACTTTCGTATTTAGTTGTTGGTTGAAATCCCGGGTGCTTTGCTTGCAGAGTAAGTTAAATTTTTTAAGAGCAATTATATTTCTTGAAAAATCTAATCTTAATTCCACTAATTATGTAATTTATTACGGGTTTCGTTGTTTGACTTCGTTTTATAGCCAGTTCGCATAGAGCAGTTTATTTTGCACCCTGATTGAGCTGGAATTCAACTGAAAAGAATAAAAATCCTATTCCAGACTCTCTTCGAATAGTAAACCTCAATAATGTCTAAGCCATGGCAGTTCAAAATGTCAATAGAGTTGAATTTACATAGGTATTAACATAAAACTACTTAATTGACCATTTAACGGTACTTTTTTCAATGTCACTAACCCATCAGTATACTATAAAAATCTAGTTCAATTGGGCATTTGAATCAGTTCCAATGGGTAAACAATGGGTCAATAAGAGACAACAAAAAATAACGGTTTTAATCAATGGTACTTTCAAGGTTTTTCCATCATATGGTTGGAATTCAGTGCAGCGGCAAATGATTATTTGAAACGTCATTTCTTTGGGGGAATTTTCAGCTTTTCACTTGCGATAAAAGTGAAATTTTCCTTCTTATATGGGACATTTTCATCAATTTGTTTGCTTTCTTCTTTTTTGTAATCGTTGACAATTCCTAATTAAGTGCAATATTTTCAATCAAGCATATTAAAGTCCCTGTTAGCTGCCAAACAACCTAATAAAGACATTGATCCAAATGATATCGAAATCATATACCTGTTGAGATCGCACCTATGAAACAATTTGGCAAGCTTTGTAACTTTTAATTTTAGATTGAAAAAACTAACCTTTGAGTTCAAGTTACATGTACCTAGAAATAAAATTATATTGAACTCATTTCAATGAGTCATGTGGTAAATGTAAAAGTGACTTATTAAGAAAAGGCGTAGGTGAGTTGTTGAGGCTATTTTTAAAATAATCAATTTAGTAGTTGGTTCAATACTAAATCAATTAACTTTTTGTTGCAGGAATTGATTTCTGATGTTCATTGATACGTAGCCCCGTCGAAAAATGGACCGCCACAGCGGGGGTGGGCCGCCGCCCCATTTACGAGGGCGTCCCGTCTCCGGCTTGGAGGCGGCGCACGCCAACGAGTACTTCGAACCCTTTCTCAATGCCACGACGCTTAAGAATATATTAGGATATCACAGGTAAACACAGGGGAACTTTGAGATTGAGATTTTAATTGACAGGTTTGTAGAAAATTTAATTAGAGCTTAATTACATTGGAATCGGATGAGAATTAAAAACTGTCTCAGTGTCATTTTTGGCAAATTTTCAATGTTCGATAAAACCGATTTTGAAACTTATCAGGTGCCGAGGGGTCGACACCTCTTGACAGTAAGTGTACAAATTAGTTCACAGTACCTGCAATACCTAAAAAATACCGTCATAGGTCTGTAAACATACCATGTATTTTCATAGCAATAGACCTATCTATTTTTACCTGTATGCGCGTGCAGCACGAGGCAATGCATTTTTATTTGCTAACTAGAACAGGTGTGAAGTAATTCTTTTGCACGCTGGGCATCTCTTTGTCCTTGTTCATTGCCCGTGGTCTGACAAGGATAAAATTATGCTTGATATTCAACTCGACGTAACTTGACAAGTGATCGATTTTCAATTGTTTGTGTTTTCAATTGACAAATACGTTGCATGTCACGCGGTTTTCCTCCTTCCTTTTTTATCCAGTGCAAATAATAAGAACGGATTGCTATACATAAGTCTAACATAATTTGGTAAGTTTTGCCTCGTCTTGCGCAATGAGCGTTCTGCGTCTTTTTCTATCTGATAAAGTTTTCGTATTATTACCTCTTTGTCTGATAAAATAGATAGGTCTATTGTCACAATACCTAAAATGACAATATTTTCAAAGTAGCTCTACAGTACTGACAATACTGAATCAATACCAAAAATCCGTCAAAAATACTTGACAGTATCTCTACAGTACTCACTATAACCGCCGACAATACTAATAATCCCTTGACAATACTAAAAGATTACGTGTAAATCGAGTTACGAGCTTTCAAAAGCGTTGCACCACATGACATGCCAAATAGCAGAGAGGTGCATTCATTCGCAAGTCAAGGTGTTTGTAACCCGAAGAATTCGATCCTGTCCCTTCAACCAGTTTTAACTATAAAATCCCACAAAGTGGTTCTCAACTTCCCAAGGAAAATCCAAATAAAACCAAGTCAAGACAATTCTTGAAAGGCAAGATCACCTTCATACAGATGCGAAAGAGCGGCGAATTCGTGGTTCAAGCCTCAAGGTCGATATAGGCTGGCCGCATCAATAAATTTTGAACATATTTATTATATTAATGCGGAATCTCAATAATAAAATATCATTTTTTAAATTGGTTCACAAACAGCAAAAAAATATTCTTCTTGTAATGCTTTATTTATTAAATACCCGCTAAAATATGTGTTAACACAACAGGCTGGAACACGCTCACGCACTCAGCCACGTTAATTATTCTGATGCGGGCGATCTGTGTCTATGCGTCCGGAGGTCGAGGCTGGCCCCCTTGCGGAGCCGAGGATTCGTAGCAAAATCGTTGCACGGCAACGGTACTTACTTACGCATCTGTATTAGCTGATCTGTGCCAGAGTTACCCAATTCCTTAATTTTTAATATTTGTCCTTAACTCTTAGTTCTTAAAAAGTTCAATTTAATTAACATTGGTGTTTTTAAAGATTAAGAATTAAGAACAAAAATTGAGGAATTGGGTAATCCCGGCCTTAGCCAAGATGCCAGCGGGTTAGAAATTAACGTTGTAAACCGGTGAAAGAGTAGGATCTTTTAAAAATCGCAAAGAAAGAAAACGAACTCCTATCCCTCTTCAACAAATTGAACCAACGACTTTGCAGTTGCAGCACGGCAAGGAAACAAAGAGACATATTTGCTGAAATAATCAGTGACCAGCAATACATGAGTATTGCCTTTTCGAGATCTCGGAAGAGGTCCTATGTAATCCAAGCTGATTGTTTGCCAGGGTTTTGAAATTGTTGGACAGTGTCCCATAAGTCCAGCTGGTAGTTTTTGTTCTACTGTGCACAACTGGTACAAGATCTTACATACTTGATGATATCACATCGCATTTTCGGCGAAAAGTAATTCTGGAGCAATTTGGCAGTCGTTTTATATACACTTATATGAGCAGCAAGAACATTGTGACAAGTCTTTAATACTGTTATGCGCTTATCCTTTGGTACTGCAATTTTCCAATTACTCGAAAGAGTACCAGAATCTGGATGGTTATGTTTTAAATACTTATAGAGAATATCTGCCTTGACTCTCCAGTTAGGAAACTTATGTGGATTCCGAACGACATTATCGATCATCTTCAAAAACCAAGTGTCAGTGGTGTTAGAAAAAGGCGGAATATGGTTGAACTCATTTATCCAGACTGAATCAGAGGTAACTGGCACAGACCTGCTCAGCATATTCGGTACAATATGGTCTTTCCCCTTTCGATGGATAAGTTGGAAATCGTAAGGCTGAAGTCTCAATTGCCAACGAGCCAAGCGCTCTTGAGGATCCTTAACTCGATGGAACCAGAGAAGGGAATAATGGTCGTAACTTCTAGTAAGTAAGAACAGGAGCAGTAACTAAACATTCTTTAAGACAAATAAAAGGCTGCTGACACGCAGGTGTCCATGACCATCTTGCGTTCTTCTTAATTGACACCAGAAGGGAAGCTAGAAATGAGAAAAAAATTCGGGGCGAACCTTCTGTACCAGGAAGCGGTGCCAACGAAGCGGCGAATTTCTGATACATTAGACGGGGGTGTATATGTACGATAGCCTCTACCTTATCAGGATCCGGTCTTAACCCCTGTGAATCAACGACATAGCCAAGATATTTAAGAGAAGGTTTACAGAATTGACACTTACTCAACGAAACGATGAGCCCTGCATCAGGAAGACGATCGAAAACGATCCCCAGAATTTTCAAATGCTCAGAAAAGGAGGACGATATGACGATGATGTCGTTCAAATACACCATGTCCGAGGGTTCCAGTTCTGGATCCAAAACAGGATCAACTATTCGTTGCCAAGTGGCAGGAGCATTGGATAACCCAAAAGGCATGCGACGAAAATGGAAAAGACCAGGTACTGTGAAAGCTGTAAGCTCACGACTTGTCTCACTCAAAGGTACTTGCCAAAAGGCAGACTTAATATCAATTGAGCTGACATAACGGGCATTCCTCGAACGATCCAAAATGGCCGAAATGTAAGGAATAGGATATGCATCCTTCTTAGAAACTTCGTTGAGACGCCGAAAATCTATACAAAATCGAAATGATCCATCCTTTTTGCGGGCGTGACATACTGGACTAGACCAAGGGCTTTTTGAACGTTCTATAACCCCCAACCTTAGCATTTCCTCAACTTCTTTATCAATAAATTTTTGTTTGAATGGTGACACGGGATAATAGCGTTGTTTTATTAGTTTAACGCCAGACAAAACTTCTACCTCATGCTCAACCACCTTACAGCATCCAAGACTGGTACCCATTTTTGCCACTTTATTTTTGATAAGTCTGTTGAGATGTTCTCGTTCGGAGACTGTGAGGCTACTTTCGTCTTGCACAGTGCAAATTTGAGTCATCTCAGGTGTTTCGGAAAACTGCCAAACATTTTGCCTGAGATCTGGCACAATTTCCAGGATTTTCCAGAAATCTACTCCCAGTATCAGTTTGTGAGATAGTTCAGGTATAACTAAGATATCGATGATTCAAGTCTTCTCTAATAATGTCATGAGGACTTGGATATATCGCATGCTAGAACAGGTTTTGCCATTAGCGACAGTACATTGCATCTCCTGTTTCTATAATTTCAAGCCCAGAATCGGTTTCATAAGCTGGCAAACCCACCAAAGTTTGAATGGCTCCAGAATCCAATAAACCTAGGATAGAGTAACCCATAATTTCTACTTGCAAATATGGTCCCTGATCGCCATGAGCATGACCTATGTATGATATAGTCCAATAGGACTTTATTAGGGAAGATATTGGACTCGGTCGTCATATTTTCTTGGGGGGAGATCGTACGACCTAATGATTTCCCCTAGACCCGTTCCCCGACGACGAGCTCTCGGACAATTTCTTGTTGTTATTCGGTGCACCACACCGGTAATAATGTCTTGTCTTCGGCCTAGTGCAGTCCTCATTCATATGTCATGTGTCTTTCTTTGCGACATTTCCAACAAGTGATTTGCGTGGACCCTTGTGGTCGTCTATCTTGATCAATTGCATCTACCCCACCAACATCGTCCGCAGCTTCCATCAAATTGCCTGGAACAGACACGAATACAAAGTCCGGTTCCACGAACTGGTTTCTTTTTCGGGATGGAGGTACGTAGTACTCTGCCCGATATTTCTTGGTCTCCAGTTTGAGACATTCCTCTTCAAGTGCATCCATGGAATTCACCACCGGCAATTGTGTGGTATAGAATGTTGCCAAGTTTCGCGTAATAGTAGGTTTAGAAACAAGCGGAAACGTTTTACATACGGGATCCGCCCGTAAAATTCCCTAGTTTCATCACATTCGATCAAACAATTATCATCTTACCATTGCATAAAGCTATTGAAAAATATGTACAGTGGGAATCATTGCAATTGGCACACACTCTTTAAAATCCCTCGTATTAAAGGGGGTGTGCGCCAAAAAAACAACTTCATCTCAAAAAAAAGAGAAAAAAAATCTAAGAATAACAGTGAAATCCGCGCCCCTCTATGACAAATAATACCGCAGATATGGCTCTATGAAGGTACCGCATCTCACCCTATGACGTCACGAAAGCTCAAGCGACGCACGAGAAAGTGGAGTTAATTAAATTAACATATGTTTTTCCTGTGTTACCTGCAATAATCTAAACAAAAACCACTCAGGCGTGCCGGGAACAATCAAATTAACAATAAGGAGCGCGGCTGGAAGAAGTTTTCGTGACGTCACGAGAGCGTCGTCCACACTTTAAAGCGGTATATCTCAGCGATGGTTTATCGTAGAATAACGAGGTTTGACCAGTTATTCTTAGATTTTTTTACACTAAAACTTTAATTTTTGGCGCACACCCCCTTTAAGTCAAAATTCTAACCAATAAATCTATTTAGTGCAGCATTTTGCTATTACTGTGTGTCAGATTTGACACATTACGAGGGATATTTATATAGTGTGTGCCAATTGCAATGATTCCCAATTCCCACTGTACCTAATAAGCAGAGCTGCCAATGAAAGTAAACCATCAGAAGTGATTTATGCACACAATTTACACTTAACAATAACAAAGATTTTTACATTCACAGTACAAACATTGGTTCTGAAAATACATAAACAGTACTGACAGTACTTCTACATTAGTAACAGTACTAAAAATAGCTTTACAATACAGGTTAAGTATTGCTGTTTCATCCACAATACCCGACAGTACCAGTTAAACACTTACAATATGTTAACAATACTCGACAATCCCTACAATTCCATAATATACCTAGAATTAGGTGACAATACCTGACAATACTCGACAATATTGGCCGAGTTCGTTTATGTCATCTTTTTCGTCGATTTGATCCGAAATTTTGACAGGCACGTGATTTGTGAATTGAAACTGTCTTATCCTGTCACGTGCCTGTCAAAATTTCGGACCAAATCGACGAAAAAGATGACAAAAACGAACTCGGCCAATATTGTCGAGTATTGTCAGGTATTGTCACTTAATTCTAGGTATATTATGGAATTGTAGGGATTGTCGAGTATTGTTAACATATTGTAAGTATTTAACTGGTACTGTCGGGTATTATCATTATTATACAACACTCAACTAGAACGGTCAGTTTACAGCTCGGTTTACAGTAGGTGTACAAATTTCGAATCAGGTGTTGACCCCTCGTCAGGTGCAAAACTGTTGGAACTAAATTGAAATCTCAATTATCAGGTTTGTACAGAATTAAATTGGCTTCAATTACAGCCTAATTGCGTTGAAATCGGATAAAAATTAACGGAGCTGTGAAGCAAAAACTGTTTCAGTGTCATTTTTGGAAAATCTTCAATGTTTGATAAATTCAATTTTGAAGCTTCTCAGCTGCAAAACTGTTGAAACTAAATCGAGATTTTCATTAACAGACTTGTAGAGAATTTAATTGGCTTCAATAAGAACTCAATAACATTGAAATGGGATGAAAATTAACGGAGCTGTGGCCTGTGGGGCAAAAGGCAAAACAAAAAGTGTCTCAGTGTCGTTTTTGGCTTGAATAATAGTGAAACGATTTTTCAGGTCGATGTGCGAGTTCCTCCACCTCAAACCCAACGTTTTCACTCACTTCTACCCGAAACTCCGAGCCAACCTCACCTCGTGGAGAGCCAAAGCACTCTGGAAAAAATTCGACGCCCGGGCGTCGCACAAATGCTACGCAAAAGGAAAATCATGCGCAGGTACCCGAGTACTGGTAATCGGAGGCGGACCTTGTGGCCTGCGCGCAGCTATCGAGGCGCAGCTTCTCGGCGCCAAAGTGGTTGTTATCGAAAAACGTGATCGTCTGTCGCGGAACAACGTCCTCCACTTGTGGCCCTTTGTGATCGAAGATCTGCGCATGTTGGGCGCCAAAAAGTTTTTCGGCAAGTTTTGCGCCGGCGCCATCGACCACATCAGCATCAGACAGTTGCAGTGCGTTCTGCTAAAGGTGGCGCTGCTGTTGGGCGTCGAGCTGCATACCGAAGTCAGTTTCGAGCAAGTTTTGGAACCCAGTTCAGTTGAGAGTAAGTTGTAAAAGGTCTGTTCTAACACTCTGCAAACTGTCGAAAAGCATACAAGTTTTCAATGTTTGTAGACTGTTAGAGACTCTTGTGAGAACAGACCTATGAAGACGTATCAAATCATGGTGTAATTATTATTTTGATAATCTAGAGACTGGATGGCGGGCTCAAATAAAACCAGACAATCATCCAGTGTCGCAATACGAGTTTGATGTTATAATTGGAGCTGATGGGAAACGTAACACTTTGCAAGGCTTCAAGCGGAAAGAGTTCAGAGGGAAATTGGCTATCGGTAAGTGCATATTTTGAACCCATAAAGTGCCTTAAACCTGTGCCGATTTTGAAAATAGTTGGATTAAAAAGGCGCCAAAAACTGTCCCAAACAAAAGCAAATTTTGATTATTACCGGCTCTTGATTCACTTCTGTAAGCATTCGTGTTACTCTTTTTTCTTTTCCCACTTTGTTTCTGTTTCTTTTTTATTCATTAAGTTTCTTATATTGCTGTCGCTTTATTATTCCAAGCTGTTGGCAACTCAAGCGCCGGGAATAATCAAAGTTTGTATCACTATCTATATGATGGCGATATCTTTGTCCTACTTGCATATTCTAGGCTTTTTATTGGTCATTCTGTAAGCATTCAATCAGGGCCATCGCTAGGGTGTTAACCGCCTGTGTGCTCGGACAGTTTTCGCCGCCTCACTCCTATCTAAAGTACAAAACTTTAACGTATGAGGACCGTGGTAAAGACGAAGGGAGGACCACAGAAAAGGGAGATGTGCATCTATAGGGACGTCACAAAGGTATCGGCGCTTTATAATCCTTGGTTTGTACGTCAATCGTTCGTCAGCTGTCATTGGCTGTCTCTCTCCGTCCCTCTACGTTATTTTTTTTTTCTCTCTCATGTAGCGAAATTCGCCAAAACGTGACGCGTCTTTCATATCACTCTCCATTCTGGTCTAAATATCAGACCGCCGCCTAAGAAATTTCACTTTAAGAAATCGAGTTTTCATAAAGGTACCCCCTTTGAATTCTGATTTCAAAATCTTTAAACTTCGATTGCTCGGTCTCCGTTGAGCAAATTGCATTGAAATTTTCAACATTTGTAGCTCTCATTAAGCTCTAAATGGCCTGTAATTTACAATATTCCTAGATTTATAGTTTGGGAGCAAATTGAGTTTGAAGTTTTTGACAAAATTTAGACTAAAAATCAACTTTGAGGCTCAAATGCTCAAAAACCATCGATCTCAATTTTGCACAGATTTATAGAAAATTTAATGCTCTTTCCAATAATGTATAATAATATTTCAATTTAGTGGGAGTTTAACAAAGATATGGGCAATTATTCACGATCATGTCAAGATTTTGAAAATTTTCTTTTTGTTCCTGGTTAAAATGACCATTTGAAATTATTGATGTCAGGATTACTTTCCCCTAATTCTAACCGGCTCTATCGATTGGTAAAGTCAAAATTGAGTAAAACTGGAAAATAAAAAAATCGAGTTTTCCATAAGGGTACCCTTTGAATTCTGATTTTAAAATATTCATACCGCGAATGCTCGGTAACCTTTGAGCAAATTGCATTGAAATTTTTAGCTTTTGTAGCTCTTATTGACCTTTAAATGGCCTGTAATTTAAAATATTTTCAGATTTATAGTTTTTGTGCAAATTGAATTTAAAGTTTTTGATAAAATTTGGAATTCCGGTAAAATTATGAAATTTCGATGAAATTCCATTAATTTTCCTGGAATTCCAAGTAATTTCTCTCATGAAATTCTAAAAAAAAAAATATGATATTACTTAAAATTCCTGTGAAATTTCTTGCAATTACAGAAAATTTCCTTGAAAAAACATGGATTTTTAGTAGAATTCCAGAGAATTTTTATGGAATTACGAGGAATTCTGGTGTATAAAAAAAAGAATTTTTCCAGTACATTTCAGAGACTTTGACATCGTCGTTACGGTTGCGCTGAATTTTACTTTATACTTCAAAATTCAAGCAAATTTTTATTGATCAATAATTATTAATAATTATAATTATTGAAATTTGAAATAACTAATAAGTAATAAGCTACTAACAACTTACTCAAATATCAAAAATCTTGTGAAATAATATGGGATTTCTGATGAAAGTTTAAATAATTCTCGTGATAGTTCAGTGAAATTCCGGTAAAATTATGTGAACTTTCGTAAAAATTCCAATGAAATTCGATCTATTATCCAGAAATTCCACGTAATTCTCCCAGAATTCCAAGTTATTCTCGTAAAATTCCAAAAAATTCCCGTAAAAATTACATTAAATTTTCATGCAACTTTAAAAAATTCTTGTAAAATTATTTAGAATTATAGTGGAATCACTGCGAAAGAATTACGTAAAAATTTTCCGAGTATTCAATTCAATGCCTCCGGAATTTTAAGTTATTCTCGTGAAATTCCAGAAAATTTCCATGAAATTCCAAAATATTTACGTAAAATCAACAGGAATTTTCGCAAAATTTCAAAAAAAAATCCTGTAGAATTACATGGAATCCTTATAAAATTCCAAAAAAAAAAAATTCCTAAAGCTACTGGTATTTTCAGTGGAATTTTGAAGAATTTTTATAGTACATATCACTTGGAATTCTCGTAAAATTGAATGAAAAAATCGCTAAAATTTCCGTAAATTACCTTAAATTCTTGTGAAATTACTTAAATTTTTTATTAAATTCCCAAGAATTCTCGTGAAATTACATGGAATTCCCGTGAAATAACTCAAAATTTAAATGAAATTCTGAAATAATATGAAATTCTCGTAAAATTCCGAAAAGTTCTTGTGAAATTACTTATTACTTTATTACTTTAGCAATGTGTATTCTTGTGGAATAAATCGAAATTTTTGTAGAATTAAAAAAAATAAAAAATGCGAAATTCCAGAAAATTTTCCTTAAAGTTGCTTGGAATTCCCGTGGAATTGAGAAAAAAAAAACCCTTCTCACGGAATATATACAAATTCCATAAAATTTCCATGAAATAATGTACTTGAAATTTCATTGACATTCCGAAAAAATCCTGTAAAATTACTCGAAATTCCAAAAAATTCTTCTGAAATTTCTTAGGTAATTTTACTGAAATATAATTACTTGAATTTCTCGTGAAATTATTTGTAATTCTAATTCTAGCAAAATTTGAAGTAATTCCTGTGAAATAAGTCAAAATTCTCGTGAAATTCCAAAAAATTCACATGAAACTACTTAAAAAATCGTGTAGGTAATTTTTTTCTACTACCGTGCGTAAAGTACTCACTTTACGCACTATTGAGAAGACGTAAAATTTCACTTCACACACTAGTGCGTAAAGTAATTCACTTCACACACTAGCTGTCAATGACAGATGTCGATACTGTCAATTTGGCATTTTTCTGGTAAATTACTTCACGCACTAGTGCGTAAAGCGAAAATTCTTTACGCACTAGTGCGTGACGTATTTGTCTAAATTTATCGTTTTACACATATTTGATTGTTAGTAGAAAACTTTTTGTATGCAATACGTGTGTAAAGCACCTTTTTCCACTCATGTGATTGTCGCACTCGCAAAATTCACATTCGTGAAAAAAAGTTCACTTTACACACTTGTAAATTTCAGCAAAATTCCAAGGAATTTTTATGAAATCACTCAGAATTTCAGTGGAATTCCAAAAAAAGGACTCCGCAATATTTAAATGAAAATTGGTTACCCGTGATATTTGGATGAAATTTAAATATGTCATTGGGGATGCCGTAAGCAACATTTTTTACCCCGGGCACAACCCTGTATATATGACAGGTGAGGCGTGGTTAGCTGTCAAATATTGGAATCTTATATCCAAAAGAAGAGTGACTATGGCAGATTTTGATGATCGAAGTATCGATGTCTACTAAGTCGACCAAGTCAAGTCGAAAAATGTCAACCATTTTGACACCTGTCAAAACCCTGCCAAACGGCAGCACTCATCTTTTCCCGTTTTCAATATTTTATGATGTCATTTGACATTTCTAACTTGTATGTAAATTCTGAATTCAAAAATTGAAAAAAAAATGACAGAACTGTCAAAACCTGTCATTTGTTTTAGTAGAAAAAAATACTCTAATCTGGTTCTTTTTTGTTTCAAGGTAGTTTAGCAGTGATAAAACATTAAATAAAGTTCATGCATGTCACATTTTGACAACTGTCAGAATCTGTTAATAGATTTTTGGTTCATATTGAGTTTGTTTGCTTAGTGAAGGTTTAGTTCTATTGTATTATTGTATTATTCTATCATTATAGTTGTAGAACTTCACTAAGCAAACAAACTCAATATGAACCAAAAAGCAAAAACAGATTCTGACAGTTGTCAAAATGTGACATGCATGAACTTTGTTTAATGTTTTATCACCAATAAACTACCTTGAAACAAAAAAGAATCAGATTAGAGTATTTTTTTCAACTAAAACAAATGACAGGTTTTGACAGTTCTGTCATTTTTTTTTTCAATTTTTGAATTCAGAATTTACATACAAGTTAAAAGTGTCAAATGACATCATGAAATATTGAAAACTGGAAAAGATGAGTGCCACCGTTTGACAGGATTTTGACAGGTGTCAAAATGGTTGACATTTTTCGACTTAACTTGGTCGACTTAGTAGAAATAGATTTTTTGTTCATCAAAATCTGCCATAGTTACTCTGCTTCTGGATATAAGATTCCAATATTTGACAGCTAACCACGCCTCACCTGTCATATATACAGGGTTGTGCCCATGGTAAAAAATTTTGCTCATGGCATCTCCAATAACATATTTAAATTTCACCCAAATATCACGGGTAACCAATTTCCATTTAAATATTGCGGGGTCCTTTACGTGAAATGATCTGAAATACTCATGAACTATTAAAAAGTAATTTGTGAAATTACATGGAATTCCAAAAAATTCCTGTGAAAATACAGAAAATTTTTTTTGAAATTAATTAAATTTTTAGTTAGAAATTCCGAAGAATTTTTAGGGAATTCTGGTGTGCAATTTATAAAGATTTCTGGAACATTCTATGATAAGAATTTCAGTGGAATTCCAAAAAATTCTTGTAAAATTACACGAAATTCTCATAAAATATCAGAAAATTCCAATGAACATTACCCGTATATTCTCCAAAAATTTTCCAAAAAAAAAAAACATGTTGAAACATTCTCTACTATTTGTAATATCCATTTAGAATAACCTCATCCTTATTTATCAATCACAAATCAGATGAAACAAAAAATTACCAACTAAAACGAACGTCGATTGCTAATACGTCAATTTCATGTACAATACCTAACCTAATTTTATTTGTGTGTCAAGAAGCGACATACGTTTTGTCACTAGAACGACTGGTACCTACTTCTAAATAGGTATTAAAAATACTATATAAATATTTTTGGAACATTTCTAAAATATACATTGCAAATTTTTCAAAAAAAAAAACATCTTGAAACATTTCTGAAACATTTTTGGAACATTTTATATACATTCCTAAAATAGACGAATTATTTCAAAAATATATTGAAATATTTTTGTCTTGATAGTTGATGGGAAATATATAACGTAGAGAGACAGAGAAAAACAGCTAATGATAATGACAGCCGACGAACGATTGACACAAACCAAGGATTATTGCCTATTATTGTCAAGCGACGATATCCTTGTGACGTCACTACAGATGCTTGACTTTTTTTTGTGTTTTTTTCTGTCTTTACTCCTAGACGCTGTCTAGAAGTTGTATGAGGGGGGATAGTTTTTATTAAGTTTCACTTCTACAACATGTAGGGCGCTACACATGATTCTTTTTGCATCAAGATTGGTGTCTGCAACCCTTTTCAATCGGGCGCCCCTTTCAATCGCCCGCCTGTTTGTTTTAAATACACCGCACACATTGTAGCGGCGGCCCTGCATTCAATAATCCGAATCTTAGTTGAAGGTTTCATAATTTTTCTACATGCAATCAAGAGCCAGGAATAGTTCAAATTTTAATTATTACCGGCTCTTGATTCACTAGTGATAGCATTCAATAATAGAATAATGTTGAAAGGGATGGTACCATAGGACACACTCTACTAATACCTACCATTTTCTCTGTCCCTTCTGGCCTTCTACCAAAGAACCCCTATTTCCTTGTCCACACCTAGTACTTTTCTACCAATAGCCAGCCAATAATAGTAGGGTGGCTTCTTTTATCTACCCCCTATTACTTATTCTTTTATGTGGTGGAGTGGGTTAAGATAAGAAAATGGGGTGTCTAAGTCAGTTCTACATTTGCAATGGTGGTGTGTACCCAGGGGTACCAATGGGACCCTGTCTTTGTATGGGATGCCAGTAAGAATTAGACAAGCGGGAAAAAACAGTAGCTGTATCTTTTTACTTTACTTTCTCTATAACATGTGACAGCAAAAACGTACGTCTTTTCCCATTGCTAGAGCGGTTTTGTTAATTGTGATTGGTTTGATATTTTATTGCCGATTATGCCAAATTATTCCAGCTCTACAGTAGATGTATTATGGGGTTTCACCATCCTACGTCCTCCGGAGGAATCAAATGTCAATCATGTCAATCAAATTTCAATCATCTGTCAACCAATGTCAAACTTAAGTGTCAGTCATCTCTCAATGTCTAACCGAACCCACTCTGAACTAATCCAATCTACTCTGAACTAGTATGATTTACTCCGAACTAATGTAACTAGTGCAACCTACTCCAATCTGCTCTGAACTACTCTAACCTATTGTGATAATTCCAAAGTATCTATTTTTATTACCTGGCGCCATCTTTTATCAGTTTTTCGGATTTAATTTAGTAGAGTCTAGTTGAGCTTTTAGAAACCTATATTGGTCGAGTCTAGTTCAGCCTGCGTAAATTTTAAATAGTTAAATAGTGAGGATAACCCCAAAAATTTGAGGTTGGCCCGGGTCAAAACCCCGAAATTTCAGATCAAAGACGCCGCCGATCTAAAGATTTTCCCACGGTATCGAAAAAGTTCCCACGGTTGGCCCGGGTCAAAACCCCGAAATTTAGGATCAAAGCCACCGCCGATCTAAAGATTTTCCCACGGTATCGAAAAAGTTCCCACGCTATCAAAAAAGTTCCCACGGTTGGCCCGGGTCAAAACCCCGAAATTTCAGATCAAAGACGCCGCCGATCTAGAGATTTTCCCACGGTATCGAAAAAGTTCCCAGGCTCAGGTGCCCCCGTTAGCTAGACCCTGTTTTTAGGCATCCCTTATTTGATGCAATTGGCGATGAAGATCAATGAATGAAACAACAAATTTTTAGTAAAATTTTATTCATTAAACCTTAAAATAATATACATTAAATTTTGCATCATTCACAATTCAATAATAATTAATTTAAAACTTCCTTTGTAGCGATTACAGCCAACTTCATCAACAAAAAAACCGAAGCCGAAGCACGCGTTGAAGAAATCAGCGGCGTCGCTTTCATTTTCAACCAAAAATTCTTCAAAGATCTACAAAAAGAAACCCGAATCGATTTGGAAAATATCGTCTACTACAAAGACGACACCCACTATTTCGTCATGACGGCCAAAAAGGCCAGCCTTTTGGAAAAGGGCGTCATAAAGCAAGATTTATCTGATACAGAAAAGCTGTTGGCGCCTGAAAACGTCGACAGAGACGCTTTGCAAAATTACGCCCGCCAAGCCGCAGATTTCAGTACAAACTACCAATTACCAGAGCTGGAATTTGCTGTCAACCATTACGGACAGCCCGACGTTGCCATGTTTGATTTTACTTCGATGTATGCTGCTGAGTATGCTTCTAAAGTGGTTGAGAGGCACGGCTGTAGGCTGTTGATGATGCTAGTTGGAGATAGTTTACTTGAGGTAAGTCATTTTTGTCTTTGAAGCCTAATTTCTCAATAGCAACTGGTATAATTTTTATAGAAAATTTTATCCTCTTATAATACAAGTCGTTATTATTTTTCTGTAGCCCTTCTGGCCAACAGGATCAGGCTGCGCCCGCGGCTTTCTCTCCTCCTTAGACGCCGCATGGGCAATAAGAAGCTACTGCTCAGGCCAAATGACTCCTCTAGACGTCTTAGCCGAACGCGAGTCCATCTACAGGCTACTCGCTCAAACCACTCCGGACAATCTGAACAAAGATTGGAAAGCCTACACTTTAGATCCAGCCACTCGTTACCCGAACCTCAACAAAAGCGTAGTCACTCCGCATCAAACGATTTGTTTGTACGACACTGACAACGCTAATAGTATAGAAAAAATGAAGAGGGCCTCGTTGGAAGCTGCCGCCCGGTTGGATCACGTGCCGAAAAAGCGTCGCAGAGGGAACGTTGATAACGAGGTGCTGCGCAATTGGTTGTCTGAGCAATTACGCGAGCATACGGATATAAGGATTTCGGATGTGAATTCTATATTTCGCGATGGCAAGGTTTTATGTGCAATCGTACATCATTATCGACCAGATTTGTTGGATTTCGGTGCAATTAAGGACAACGATGCGGCCAAGTGCAATCAATTAGCTATGGATATTTTAGAAAGGGATTTAGGTAAGAATAATTAAATTCGTCAGTCTGCATATGGGTTCTCCTTTGAGGATACCCATTGTGTGAAGGTGTTTTCTCAGGCTACAGTGTCCAGTTATTAGCCTTATTTGATTTCTGTTAAGTTGCAGGATTTCTTCAGTAAATTTACATGATGGTTGTTGCACCATTTCCTTACTGTGTCTGAGCTTCAGAAGAGTTTGCCAGTTAGTTTGGTGTTGTCTATACATCCATTATTTAATTTCTGTTCTTACCGAAGATTTCTTGTTGCCAATTGCCGGTTCAGGACCAGTATAACTGGTTGCTGATCCTTCTCTTGCTAGAGCATCTGCTTTTTCAATTCCTTTATGCCCTGGCACCCATTTAAGGGTTACCTTGTTGGCCATACTTAGGTTTTTGAAGTTTTCTTCCCAGACAAGTTCGAATTTTATTTCAAAGCTGTTGAGTACTTTGATCCACGCTTGACTGTCTGAGCAGATAAGGATGTTTTTACCTGTGTATCCCCTCCTTAGGTTTTCTCTCAGACAGGAGTTAATGGCATATATTTCTGCTTAGGATACAGTAGTGTATTCTTCCAGAAAATTGACCAGCGCCGGTTTCAGCTTCTGTTTTGGAACTGTCAGTAAACCAGACACTTTATGGTTTAGGTGTTACCCCGGTATTTCCTACTGGGACAATCTCAATTGCGAAGGGTTTTTCGAGAGATTTTTTCGGCATCATATTGTCGCTACCCCAATGGTTTGTGATTATTTTGGTGATTGCCGCATGTCCATTTGCTTTTGGGTTCCAGGTTTCGTGCAGCACTATAAGCTTTCTTTGAATCAAACTATTTTTGTCATACATTTAATATTATCAGGTATAGATAATTATTTTGATTTTTTTTCAAGGTATCCCTCCGTTTATGACTGGCGAAGAAATAACTAACACAGAAGATTACTTAGCAATAACCACTTACCTGACTCAAGTCTACGACACTTTCCGAGGAGAAATACCGCACATTAAACATCCAAAACTGGTGAGTAAATTTAGAATTTTTATTGTACAACAAATTTCCTACTTCTAGTCATCCTCAATGTTAAAACCTCAAAAATCCCAAATCAACAACCGAGACGTTATAGTGTTCAATAGAATTGAAAAGTGGACTGTTAGCAAAGCAAAATTTAACCTGAGTCAGCACACTTTTCTCACCTCGAGCATAAAAAGCTTTGAAAGCACCAAAACAGAACAAAAATTAAACAAGCCTCAATATTTTGATGTTACTTATAACTGCGAGCAACAAGTTTACACTTGTACGCATGTGATACGAGAAAATGATGGTAATTAATGTTTCAAATACAATTGCCTTTATAACTTTGAAGGTTGCAGTTAAAAAAATAAAATCCCGAAACGTAGCTGTCTCAGCTACTACAGTGAGAAAGAAAAAACCCAAAAAAAAACTTCCAATTATAGCTGAAGAGCAACAAAAAAGCCGCCACCCTAAGCTCAATTGCGACACAATAATTCAAGACACTTTTGAGCCTTGTCCGAGCCTTTTGGCACTTTTTATTCCGCCCCCTAAACCTGAAAAATCCAAGCGTTCATTAGGTAATTTAAGCATTTTGGACACAATTCGCAAGCATTTTATGCTCAAAAAACAACAACTCAGTTTGGCGTTGTCGCGTCAGAAAATTGCGACAAAATCGCAATATTGTCAAACCAATGAGGACAATAATTTAGTTTATGCTACAATAAGTAAAAATAGTTCAGTATATACTAGCAGTCACAAACAAGTGAAACAAATATATGAAAACAAGAAAAAATTCATGAGCAATTCTCACTCTTCTTGCTTAAAAGAACGCAAAAGATCCAAAAAAAGAGTGAGTTTTCAAACGGATTTTGAAAGTCCTACAATTGAAGCAAATCAGAAAGTTACAAAGTGCTTATTTACAAAACCGGCGAAGTTTTCCAGAACGGAATTGGTGGAGGAAATTTTCGAAAGCAAAAAAAGACTCGACGGCCTTAAGGTTGGTGCGAAGTGGTCGCAAAATGTCGTCTTCCAGAGGAAAACTTTGGAGAAAGGGAGCAAAAGTAGGTTGATTTTCGTACACAGGCCCCAAGAATTCAAGAGAATAAGACTTGTTGCATTTTTTTTTTTGTAGGAAAATAGTTATTTGTTTTACTAGGCAGAAAAGTACAAGATTTAATGCCGCGGCTGGTGTTTCATAGCCGAGGCTAAGAAACCAGCTGAGGCATTAAATCTGCTTTTCTGCCATGTAAAACATATAATTTTTTCACCGAATGTTCAAATTCACATATGGACATCTTTTTTATATTCATTTAATTCATTATTATTATCCAAATAATTAAATAATTTTGACAATAATTGTCATTGTCATCATTAATTTCAAATACGAAATTGAGTGAAATTATTACCTGGAACGTTGTGACACTGTCAATTTTAATGCCTAGGCAGTAAAAATACAACTTTTGATCCTGTCAAGTGTCATTAAAAGGCCGCTGTTACTGTCATTCGGAGAAAAAATAAAAAATGCAATAATAACAGGCAGAAAATATTAATAATTGAAACGATATTATGTGCCTAGAAGCAGATGAAACTATCTGCATCAGTGTTGCCAACCGTTGAGTAATTACCCAATTTTTGAGTATTTTTTCCTCAAAATCCTTATTTGAGTAATTGGGTAAAAAAAAGTTTTAAAGTCATGGGTATTTTGATATGATACAACAATAATCATCAAACTTCGGCGTTCGTCCATGCCATGACGTCATGAGTTTTACACATTCAACTCAACGAACCAACCTAAAGACCATGAACTGGACTCTGACTAAACGAACACGAGTCCCGAACGCAGCCAAGTAGCTTGACATTGACGTGTTGAATAGGTAGGTTCATTGGTAGGGATATACCAAGGTTGTTTGAGAGAGGTAGGTTGCCTGATAACTTTATAACGTCATCTGGGGTTGGGGTGCCTCAACATAATGCAATTAATTCTCCATAAGGCGTTCCAGATGCGTCATCAAGTGTCCTATTATCAGGCAACCTATTAACTTGGGGGCATACTATATGTGCGTATGCCAATATCATTGTAATAAAAATATAATTCAAAAACTAGATAGCTTAACTCAATAAAGCAAGGTTATGTTTTGTAATTTGTGAAGTCAGAATTCGGAGTTTCTTCAAAAAAAAGGTTGGCCCGTAGCAATAGCAATAGACCCCACCTCCAGAGAAGAGAGAACGTTTCATGCAACAGAACACATAGCAAAGTCTTGGGGATTCTCTGGAGTTATCCATGTTTTTCGGCGTGGTCCATGCACACATTATTTTTTTAGGGCTTAAAATACACGTTTTTGGGCGTGGCACCCGAAAAAATTTTCGCCTCTATACGTATTTCTCATGGGTATTTTGGGTATTTTTATTTTGCAAATTGAGTATTTCAATTCCAAAAGGTTGGTAACACTGATCTGCATCACTTTTGCACCAACTGCACTGTTCTAACAACCGACCAAACTGCCCTTGCACTGACTGTTCCACCCTTCTACAAGCTACACTGTATTGATCTCTACTGGCTACACTGACCGCACAACTCCTGTTCTTACTGCACTATCCGTGTACTGAGTATATTGACTTAAACTGCTTTACTGACAATAGCTTTGCACCAACTGCATTGACATTACTTAACTCCGCGAGTTAAAAGATGACACTGTTGACAGAAGTTCACATTCTGGTTGGGTTCCGTTTCCAACCTTGGTTACGGTTACACGTTCTGTAATGTCTGATCTGGTGCCTGAAAAACCGGTCTATACGGAAATGGTTATGACAAACATGTCACCGAGACAACTGGCGGTGATTGGAAAAGCGTTCCGTACTTAGAGCAGGTAAAGCGCTGTCCTATGGTCATAAGGAGTAGGAACGCGCTATTCTGCTTATGAAACTAAAGTGAAGCCAAGTTTTTGGCAGGTGTTTGGTACCAAAATACAAGTAAAGCATTCTATACCACCATTTTTTTCGTGCCAAAATACCTGGAAAAAAAACGCCTTCATTTTCCAAATCCATGTTACTACTCCTCTTTACCTTTACCTGCTCTACAGTTCCATATAAAACCGAAATTTTCAGCAACCACTGTCCAGCGCTGTCAGCCGACGTTGTACGGACCAAATTTTCGCGACGAATGTAGTTCATCCAAGGACGAACCATGGTTCGTCTTATGACGTCATGAGCTTGAAAAAGCTGCGTCCATGCTGCCGACGAAATACGTTTAATATGACAAGAATATGACGTCATGAGTTTCTTGCGAAAGCGTCTGTGTTTATGAAATCATGGAAATAGTTCGTTGCGAAAATTCGGTTTATGTTTGGCAACGGAACCCACCCTCAATGTGACAAAACTGATCACATGGGACTGTAATTTTGTTACTCTAGAAGAGGATTAACCGAACTCGCCTATGAATGGCGTTGCAAATTGGAAGATTTTAATGCGCACCGAGTGTATTTCCATCTCATTCTCTCATCCTGTGAAAGAAACCGTTAGAAATGCCTTTTCTTCACACTAATTTATGCAACCGAAAACGCCACAAGTCTGATCTTGCACTGACAGTAACTGGGTCAGTGCAATCTCATGGCGTTTCCGATTGGTAGATTCAGTGCGCACCGAGTGTATTTGCATCCTTTTAATCGGCCTGTAGAAGAAAAAGACAGAGATAGAAAAAATTGCACTAGTTCCGCACTAGATCTACCAATCGGAAACGCCATCAGTCTGTACCGATTTTCCACTACCTTCAAATAACTACGTTGCCACCTTTTTTTTAGCGAATCTACTAGCTTCTTTGTCTGAATCTACTAAAAATCTACTGGAGCAATTTTGGAAAATACCAAAAATCAACTCTTAAGCCCAGTTCTAGGCCCAGTCGTACAATCTCGGTTCAAAACAAAGTTCAACTGAACTCGACTGGTACTTGAGCTTACCAATCTGACCTTAATCATTTAAAATACATTGCTGTCAGCTATTAATCAAATTCTATCAATTTTGACAGCAATGCATTTCAAATGGGGAAGTTCAAGTACCAGTCAAGTTTAGCTAAACTAGGTTTTGAACCAAGATTGTACAACTGGGCCTTAATCTATATCTTGTATATTTTGTATACGTATGAAAAATGTACGTAATTTATTTAATAAGAAAGTTGGACAATATTAGAGAGTTGGGAGTGGTTACAGTCGTAGTCTGTCATGGCGATTCTAATTTCTGATGAGAACGTATTTCCGTCTTGCTATTCCCAGCGTTATTGAAACAAGATGACAATAATTGACCTTTTCAATTTAAAAGCCTCTCTCTCTGGCGTCAAACTGTCAGACGCCAAAAGAGTATGAAAACAACGCTTGACAGCGGCTGACAGTGGTTTGTTGACAAGACTTTTGTACATGTGGAAACTGGAAACTATTATTTTCTCGATTTTTTCAAATTTTTTTCCTAACAATGGTGATTGTGTAGTGTACCTTTTTGTAAAAATAATTCCTATTTACCGGCGGACGTGTCTTTCCATAAGTTTCCATCAAATCCTACATTTATCAAACTTTAAATACATAAAATCAGAAAGAATACTCGCAAAAAAAAAAGAGAAATCCACGGCCTATCAAGTATACAAAGTAATCCACGTTCAAGTTCAGTTTGCGGGAGCTGTTTGCTTCCAAAATAATCCACCGCTTTCTCCATAGCGAAGTTCTGCAAATGAAATAGTGACTTTTCCCACATTTTCTTTCAAAACACCCAATACACACTGGCATTGACAAGCAAGCAAATGTTGGCGGGAAAATGATTGTTTTCATACTTATTGTCCATCTCTTTTAATTGAAAACGTCAATTGAGATCTAACTTAACTATTATTTAATCACATGCACTACTGTAAAAATATCGTGACGTATTTTATGCAACTGAGGGCCGGTTTATCAATCAAGGGATAACTCGCAGAGTTTGCTGACCCTGGGTCAATACTAACTCTGGGCTAACTACCTAGATAAGTCGAAAGGTGTTTATCCAAGCTTTTTTAACCCAGGGCTGGTAAACTCTCGGGTTCTTCGAACGTTGGCATTACTTATGCAACGTTGCCAGCTCATTTTCATTGTTTTTTTGATATTTTCTGCTCATAACCTTACTTATTTATGTTATTTTTTTCTTTTCTTTTCCGTTTCCGTAGCAGAAAGTTTGGTTTCGTATATACAGTGTAAAAATATACAATAAAGGTACTCGAATTCTCAACAAACACAGGTTTATAGGGAATTAAAGTCTATGCTCGATATGTTCTAGATCAAATAAAATTGTTTCTTTCCGCAAGCGAAAACGTGCGAAGAAGTCGTCGTCATAAGGTCTCTTCTCACAGAAATCATAAACCCAAGCGAATTTCATTGGTTGACAATAATCAGAAAATTGTTTTTTTGGCGATTTGTACCAATCAAAAACGCTCTGACTGGTTTGTGATTTCTGTGAGAAAATATAAGGTCTGTTTCTGCAGGTATCACAAAGCAGTCAGAGTGAATTTCATTGTTTGAAACTAGTTTTCTGACTATTTTCAACCAATGAAATTCGCTCTGACTGGTTTGTGATTTCTGCAGAAACAGTCAATGGGATTTGTCGATTTGATAGCAACCTTAAGTGGTAGAGGCGCCGCTCATGGCTCATGCATTTTCTAGAAATTCTCTCATCATCACTGAAATCTGGGTTCTCCATCCTCCATCTCTTCACAATATCAAAATTCATATTAAAACCACCACTTTTTTAAAAAAATAAGAGAAAATTTTGAGGTTAACCCCGGGTCAAATATGCTAACTTGCCGTGAGAGCGCGGGCTAACTTTTTCCTGGAATAACTTTCGAGTTAGCGGTTGACCCTAAATGGATAAACACTTGTCACAACTTTGACCCAAGGTTATCCGTAACTCATGGGGTAACCCTCTATTGATAAACCGGCCCTGAATGTAGCAAAGTAAAAACTACCTACCAGAATCTACTAGAAATTCTGTCTACTAAAATTTTACAAAAAAAGCTGAAAATCTACCAGAAAAGTAGAAATCTACCAAAGGTGGCAACGCTGACTACACCTTTTGACCCTGCACTTGCTTCATCGATTTTGTACTTACTGAATTAATCTGAACCGTTCTAGAACCGTCCTTTTTGGCGAACCAAAAACAAAGCTTAAATATTAAACTACTTAAAGGTGAGTTTGGCTTGGCAGAACGGAGTTGGAGCGGATAAAGAGCAGAGCAGTTTCATAGTCACGTGATCACACAGCAAAAAAAGTAGAATGGTTAAGTCGAACGCATCAGGAGTAAGGAGAGCCGCGGCCCGCGAATGCCGCGGGCGCTTATCCCCATCACTAAACCGGAACATGTGTTTTTTTGGGGAGCGTTGCCATTTTTTCTACCAGGAGCCCCAGGGGGCAACCAAGTCCTAAACAAAAAATATCTTCTTTGAATTTTTTAGGTTAGGATCGTTGGGATAGTAAATAATTGAAAACTTAAATTTTACCGCCTTTTGGAAATAGAGAGTGGACCATAAGTCCGTTACATTTCAATCGGTGTAAAAGTTCGAGGAGCAGGTTCAACCTTAGAGCAGGTGAAGCGCTCTCCTACGGACATGAGTAGGAACGCGCCATTCTGCTTGTAAGTGAAGCCAAGTTTTGGCAGGTGTTTGGCACCAAAATACAGGTAAAACATTGAATTGCCTATACCGCCATTGTTTTGGTGCCAAAATACCTGGAAAAAAATGTTTTTTTTTCCAAATCCATATTACTGCTCCTCTTTGCCTTTACCTGCTCTAAGGGTTCAACAATGAATCGACCACGATACGGCCGACCTAGAACATGAAGGAATCCCGAAAACGTCTGTTCGTGAGCAACCAGTGCCCTGAACAACTTTAAACCACATTCTTCATAAAGATTTATATTTACATCCATACAAAATTCAAATGGTACAGAAATTAAAGCCTCAATATCCTGGTCACAGACTCCAGTTTGCTGGCGAGGCACACATCCACCTAAACAAAATGGACATGTATACCGGCAAAATTGCAGGTGTTGGAGTGACACTTATCCTAAATTGAAGAAACTTTGATTGAAGCATCAAAACCTCCTGCATTCTCCCAAGGTTACTTGTATGGCCATACTTTTATGAAGATCAAAGAGGACATATACTGTTACAGTGAACACAGAGCGGTATATTTTCATGCTAAAGAACTTTCTTGCTCCAGCGTTACGGAATTTCAATTATTTTATTCAACAATCGTGGTTTCAGCAAGATAGGGCAATATGTCGCATCCCAAAGATTCATTGGGTACAGTTTGCGAGATTTTTGGGCAAAAAGGTATATCTGAAAGGGGTGATATTAACTGGCCACCACGTAGCCTAGACTTATCCCCAATTAACTTTTTTCTTTGAGGATGGGGGATACCTTAAAAATTAAGTTTTCCACAACAACCCAGAGTCTCTTGAGGAATTAAAAGAACGTATTTGCGAGGAAATGCAGAACATTCCACAAAACACCTATCAAGCCGTTATTGAAAATTTCCGTTCCAGGTTGTAGCAGTGTCAAAATAGTCAAGGGGCATATATGGATGATGTAATAAATAATCTAGTTTTTTTATTATTGTTTGAAAAGTAAAAAGAATTTTGGTCCACCCTGTATAGGAAGTGCGCATGCCCGCTCCTCGAGCTTCATCTCGCGAGGTGGTGCTTATGGTGTTAACTCTTTTCACTCTACTATTGGCTGTACCCAAACGATGAGGACCTTGCACTATTTGCTCCCAGTGGCCCGACCCGAACGATTTTGAGGTGAAAAGTGTCAAAGAGTTGCCAAGCCGAACTCACCTTAACTCTTTTTTTTGTGAAATAAAACTTCTGGACTTTTCGGCTGAACCAAATCTGCTACCGTTATCGAAGCTTGAAGGAGGGCTCACCTAAAAAATAAAATCATTAACTTGAACTCAAACTTATCAAGCAAAATAACAAATTTGATTGTCATGTCATGACTTTTGAAAATATGTAATCAAATTTAGGAGATGGCAATTTTTGTCTGTATAGTAAATCTGAAAGTTTTAAAAAATTCTCTGTTGGACTGATTCTTGGGCCTTGAAAATGTCTGTAGCCACTCTAATTGAAAAATTGCTTTTTTTGAAAGAAAAACCTCAAATACCACCCCCATCAATAGCGGAAAAACCACCAGCTCTGACCCGCTCGGACCTGCAAATAATAAAGTTGCTAGGTTCAACTGTACTTCAAAAGTTGCGTCATTCCAAGCAATATTCTTCAAAATTGGGGCGAAGTTCTAAAAGAGGCTGTAGAAGAAAAATGGAACATCTTGAAGACGATATTGATTATTACAAGCGCGTCAGGCGGTGGATCAGTCGGGAAAAATTCGAAGAGAACAGGAAGAAAATCGAAATGCGCACGGTGAGACGATCGTCGTTTTACTTTTTATTATTTACCTTGAATAATCTTTAGCCCCTTTCAAGACTTAAAAGTAGACTCGAAGCTGCAAATACCAAAGTGGAAATAACCGAATCGACTTCGTCAACTCAAGACAACATTAAAACCTTATTAGAAAACTTAACAAACGAGGAGAAATTCAAAAAACACATGTTGCGTATAACCAATTCAAGAATGAAACATCGACAATCGGTTTCAGTACCACCTACTCGATCTGTTATATTTGAAAACGAAGAATTCCTTCCAGTAAATCACTAATAGTTTTAATTTCAAAAATAATCCCATTTTTTTTTTTTTTTTTGTAGGAACTACCAGAAAACAAAAACCACGCTTTCCCCTTCAAATCCGTCAAAACGTCAAATCATCAATTGACCGCCGTCCAGCCGAGACCGTCGAGCCGGCACAAAAGACACGCGGACATTCTGGTACCGCCTAAATTGACCGGCGCGGTGGACAAGAAGCAACGCAAACGTCGTACCATGGAACGGGTCACGCCCACTATCGTAAGTAGAATTTTTGTATTTTTTTCTGGTACCTGCTAGTACCTTGCCAGGAATCTCATTCCATTCCTAATTCCTATCCCAATTTAATCCTTCCCGTTTCCCAACTTTTCTTCCAGAAGCTGTTCTTGGACTGGACAAAAAAGCAACTAGCCTCAGACGGCCTTTTCATATACATTTTCCTAATAATCGCCGACATGCTGGTCAACCCCGAAGCCTACCAAGACCCGCAACCGCCCAAAAACTTTTGGTATCTGTTTCATAATTACTGGGATCATTAATAAATCAAAAATTTTATATGTGTGTTTTAATAACGAACTTTTCTTTTGAAATCAAAAGGAAGAACGTCAAAAAACCCTGGAAGAAATCGCGAATAATCGTCTGGACAGGCAAACTAAACGCAAACAGCAACGGCAACGTCAAACCGAGCGGTTTCTCAAGAGCATGCAAATGTTGCACGCCAATTGCAAACCGGACCGGTCTGAACCGTTCGAGGATTACTCTATATTTCTCTATAGGCAAACCGCGCCCAAATTTAAGGATAGAGTCAAAGATTTAGAGAAACAATTCACTTATGTACCAGTAAGAACGGTGTTGTTTGACTGTTGTGTTTTGAATTTTTAACTCGTTTTTTTGTGATTACTAACAATAATAATTCTTTAGTTTTATGTAATAATTGATTCCATAATTAAACTATAGCATCATTTAAGACCAAGGACCAGTTTATCAGTGGACGATTATCTACTTTAGCTGTCGGTTAACTAATGATCATTATAAATTAACCAACAGCTAATCAAAATAACCCTCCACTGAGAAACCGTCTATTTCTATTTCAATTCTAAATATATAAGTAAATTAATTCCAGCATAGTTTTTTCTTCTAAGTCAATATATACAATAATGCATTGATACAATGTCAATGTCCCACTCTAAAGCATTTATGATCAATAGATTTGTGGTAGGTAGGTATGGGAGCACATGAGGTTATTCCTATTGTTTAGGGAAATTTCATGAAATGTGCCAACATCGCACAAATTATTTTTACTTTAATTTTCTATTCTATTTTGTTTTTTTTTTTTAAATCTAATTTTCTGTTTATTCCAGGCTCTTGAATTTCTAATAGAATAAAGAAAAAATGCTGTTTTAAAACTAAAAAATTGCCGGTGTAATACACTCTACAGTCTTTTTTTTTCCCAAGATAGATTCTGACAGAAAACTTTGAAACATAAATGTGAAGATTTGGGCGTTTTTCTAGTATTGAGCAATTAAACAAGATCACTTTTTATATTAATTTATTCAAATAATTACCCGGATTACAACAACGACAAAAGATTAACGCATGCCGTTATTTTTAGTGTATCACAAGTGACATTTTTTGACTTGACATTTCAGACTTGTTATAATAAAAGACATACGTTTTACATTTACATAATCCTGACTAATCAAGGACATGACACACAGAATCATGACGTATTACTAAATACATTCATTGTTTTTAACACCCCTTCTCAATGAAAGTATTTTGACACTTCATGATTTAATAAACAAAACAGAAAATATTTTTATTTTCTACTTAACTATTATAAATAATATTTTATAAAAAAATAGGAAAAGCATGTATGATCGGTTTTGCTGCAAAATCAACCGTTCAGGTTTTACATAGTCTGTCAAAGATGCAAAAAAAATCAATTTTCTACTGTCATTATTTCCGAAATAGTTGAAGATAGGTATATAACATTATTCATGAAATATGTCTAGAATTTCCCACAGAATCCAGAAATGTCATAATATACAGGGTGTCCCATTCAAAAAAAATATATTTTTTTGTTTTTTAAAGTTTTTGCAACACCCTGTTTGAACAAAACTATGATTTCTGAGAACTATTTTTCAAGCACTACAACTTTCCTATTTAAATTTTTTTATACACAGTGGCACAAAAAATTTAAGGGGGGTGGGAAAATATAAAAAATGACCCTGTACAGGGTGGGCCAAATTGGACACTTTCTTATGGAAACACCCTTTATTTTTAGAGATAGAAAAAAATAGACCCCCCACTCTGAGGCTCAAATTTCATGAAATCTTGATTGGTGCAAACTGCATTTTGATATCTTCAACCGTTTAGCCGCTAGAGGGCGATTCTCGATTTTGAGCAATATTGTAAAGTCTCCATAACTTTTTTGTTTATGAAAATAATTCATTTCCGTAAAGACCTTTTGGAAACACTTTTCCAAGTAGAATTCAGTGAAGTTCTCAGTTTTTTTCTGTCTGGCTTCGATTTCGATATATTGACCAATATCCGATTTTTTCCAATAGGGCACTCTATATATTAATAGTTCATTAGAAAGCTACGCTTTCGCTGATTTCAATGATATAAAGTTTGATAGGCTTATCTCTAACGGTTTTCGAGAAAAAAAATTATTTCAGTTTTTGTCATAAGAAACAATGTGTTAGAAAGAGACCATTCTCAGTTTCCTTACAGAGATAAAGTCCTTTTCCAACACATTGTTTCTTATGACAAAAACCGAAATAATTTTTTTTCTCGAAAACTGTTGGAGATAAACCTATCGAACCTTATATCATTGAAATCAGAGAAAGCATAGCTTTCTAATAAACTATTGATATATAGGGTGTCCTATTGAAAAAAATCGGATTATGGTCAATATCTCGAAATCGAAGCCAGACAAAAAAAAACTGAGAACGTCACTGAATTCTGCTTGAAAAAGTGCTTCCAAAAGATCTTTACGGAAATGAATTATTTTCATAAACAAAAAAGTTATGGAGGCTTTACGGTATTGCTCAAAATCGAGTATCGCCCTCTAGCGGCTAAACGGTTAAAGATATCAAAATGCGGTTTGCACCAATCAAGATTTCATGAAATTTGAGCCTCAGAGTGGGGGGTCCATTTTTCTCTATCTCTAAAAATATAGGGAGTTTCCATAAGAAAGTGTCCAATTTGGACCACCCTGTACATGTCAAAATGCAAAACAATATTCTGTCACACAAGTTTAACTGATTTTGTTAATAATAAATTGATGAGAAAACATTGTGTTGAGTAGAAAATAAAGCATTGTATGCACCACGGGGATTTTTGGATTATAATGCCCTTCAGGCGAAACATATCCCTCGGGCTAGTTTCGCCTTCGGGCATTATAATCTACATAATCCCCTTGGTACATAAATAGCTATTATTTGCTACTGAACTATGATAACCATATAATACCTTGGTTACGATAATCATAAACAGGGTCTTAACTTCCAAGGGAGTTAAGGATTTCCATAACTCCCACTTTTACCTTGAATAGGTGAAACTTTGACAAAAAATAGAAATTTTGGTTTATGGTTTATTTCTTTATAAAAATGGACAAAATACAGTAAATTCAATAGGAAATAAAATTATCTATGTACCATGGATACATAAATTATTAATATTAAACCCAAATCTAACACAAAACCTGTAAATTTTACCTTTGACAAAGGTTTGGTTAAGATATCGGCTAATTGCATTTCTGTCTTAACATGTTCGATTTTAATCAAACCTCTGTCAATATTTTCTTTAATAAAACTATATTTAATATGGAGGTGTTTTAATCTTTTACTGTTTTCTGGATTATTAGCAATATGAATAGCGGACTGATTATCTTCAAATATTATTATTGGATTGTTAACAGAAAACAATTTAAGATCCAAAACAACTTTTCGCAACCAACATGCTTCACTTATAGCTACAGTCAATGCAATGTATTCGGATTCGGTTGAAGAGATAGCTACTGCTTGCTGTTTTCAGTGTTTTCTGCTAGCCCAGGAAACAGCGCAATTAAATAACCTGAAAATATAACCAGTGGTTGATTTACGGTCAGTGATATCTCTTCCCCAATCTGCATCAACATAACAAACAATACTTGATATGGCATAATTATCGAACTTGTAAATTAACTTCAAATCTAATGTTGATTTTATATAGCGAAGAACTTTTTTCAATGCTTTTAATAAGTTTTCAGTTGCTTTATCTTGAAATCGACTTAACAATGTAACACTGTAACATAAATCTAGTCTCGTCCCTGAAACTGCATATAGTAAACTACCAATTATTTGTCTACATCTGTTATTTAAATTTTCATCAACATTTTCATTTTTAAGTAATGACAAATCAAAATTTTGATCCATTGGTGTACTCATTTCATTACAATTACTCATTCCATATCTTTCTAAAACACTAGTTAAATACACACTTTGGTCTAGCTCAACAAAGCCCTGATCTACATCCAAACTTTTTCAGGCAATGACATGAAAATTTTGGTCATCACCATTTTGTCACTCAGCTCTTCCCCTAAGTGCTTTAGGTTTCCTTTAATTTCTTCCAAATGGGAAATGAACTCAGCCACGTTACTGTGCTGATAATTATGACTGAAAAATCTTTGTTGCAAAAGATGAACATTTACTTGTGATTTTTGTTCATATATGGACATTAATTTCTCCCACATTTCTGCCGATGTTTGACATGAAATTATGTGTGTCAGTGGTTTTACTTCCATTCTAACGGCTAATATTTCTTCGGCTTTGGCATCTCTTCGATCCCAATCACCATTAGGATCCGACTGAGGCTTCGGAATTGCACCTGTGACCACCTCAAACAGGCCTTTTGATTTTAACATGATGGTCGTTTGAAATTTCCATGTCGCCCAATTTTCTACGGTAAATTTAATGCTCATAGACTGCTCCATCTCTTCCTGACGGTATTTTCTACCAATTTTCAGTAATTTTTCACCACTTTTCACTCGCCTTTCCCGCCAAGGAAGTCTTTTATAACCTCAAAAAATTGCTCAATCAAAACACAAAACGCCCCGCAGACAGCGAGTCTGAGCCCATAACCTGTAAAGATTTGGGCGTTTTTCTAGTATTGAGCAATTAAACAAGATCACTTTTTACATTAATTTATTCAAATAATTACCCGGATTACAACAACGACAAAAGATTAATGCATGCCGTTATTTTTAGTGTCTGACA